AGGAATCAAGTTCAAGATACCAGATCACTTTTAGGAACAGAGAGAGCTGGGTTCTTAGGAAAAAGCACAGAATCATGGCAGGTATAACTACAAAATGGAGAAAATCAAAAAAATCCTTAGATAGGTGGAGGTTAACAGTGAGACCCTCTTTTTATTATCCTCACTCTTACTCACACCTTTCAACAAATACATGAATTGTTGAAAAATAAAGTCCTTGGTTATAAGATTAATGCAAATGAGAGCGCCAAGTTATATTTGTAATGACTGGGATTTATTTCTGGCCTAATTTATGTCAACACAGTTTGCAAACATTAGCTTGGTCATTGCAATACTTCAAAGTAGCCGTTAACTTTCTTCATTTTCAGATGAAGAGATTAAGTGCAGAAGTTTATACAAGACTGCCTAAGTCAACCAGCTAAATGCAAAATCTGGGATTCTAATGGTTCTAAGACTTAGTTCTTCTCTACAATGATTCACAATGATAAGCAATTTGTGAAACACCTGCTGTGTAGATTTTGGGTTTTTTTTTAAATTTCATTGTAGTAAAAAACAAAATTTACATTTAACCATTTCTATGTATGCAGTTCAGCAGTGCTGAACTTTTGTAATATCTTTTTGATTTCTATTTCATTTATTTATGCTTTTATTACTTCCTTTCTTCTACTAACCCTAGTTTCTGCTTTTCCTTTTTATCAAGTTGCTTTATATGTTGTCCATTTAGGATTTTACTTGCTTCTTAATGTGCACATTTATTACAATATATCATCCCCCTTACACTGCTTTTGCTGTATCTGATAAATTCAAATAGTTTGTATACTCATTGTCAATAGTCTTGAGATATTTTTTTGTTTTCTGCTGTAATTTCCTCCTTAATCCAATAACTCTTAAGCAGCCTGTTGTTTAGTTTCCATGTATATATGATTTTCTCCTAGCTTTATATCATAATGGTCAGAAAGAGTACTTGCTATGATTTCAACCTTCATCATAGTATCACTGGCAATTGGCAAGTATCCAAAATATGGTCAATTCTTGAAAATGTTGTGTGTGCACTTCAGAAAAATGTATATGCAGTGATCTTTGGGATGGTTGGAATGATCTTTTGCTATTTGCTAAGTCTATCTGGTCTAGTTCCTCATTTAAGGTTATTATTTATTTTGTCTTATTTATCTATTCAAAGTTATAAATAGAATATTAAAATTCCCTACTATTGTTTTGTTGTCAATCTCTGTCTTTAGCTCAATTAATTATTGCCTTATACACCTTAGTGTGCATCATTTGGTGCAAATATAAGTATTATTTTTTTTCTTATTGTTTTTCTGTTGCTTTGTAATAGTCCTCTAGTTCTTTCATGTTCAGTTTAGTGTTGATATAGCCTTCTAAGTTTTGCTTTTTTGGTGACAATCCTATCCTCTCCTTTCTTGAATGATATTTTTGCATAATAAAGCAGTCTACCTGTATTTCCCAGGTAGAACTTTCTTTAGAAAGTTATAAGTTATTCTTTAGAAAGTTTGTTCAATAAATGGTGCTGGGAAAACTGGGTCGCTACATGCAAAAGAATGAAGCTTGACCACTACCTCACACCATACACAAAAATCAACTCAAAATGGATTAAAGAACTAGACATAAGACCTGAAACCATAAAATATATAGAAGGAAATATAGGCGAAACACTACGTGATATTCACATCAAAGACATCTTTACAGACACATCACCCAAAGCAGTGATAGTGAAGGCAAAGATAAACAGCTGGGACTACATCAAATTAAAGAGCTTCTGCACAGCAAAAGAGACAATAACAAAAACAAAGAGAAACCCCAACAACTGGGAGAACATTTTCGCACACAACACTAATGATAAAGGACTGATCACAAAAATCTACCAAGAGCTGATCAGACTCAACAACAACAAAGAAAATAATCCAGTCAAAAAATGGGCAGAAGAGCTAAAAAGAAACTTCTCTGAAGAGGAAATGCAAATGGCCAACAGGCATATGAAAAAATGTTCAACATCACTTGTAATCAGGGAAATGCAAATCAAAACTACCATGAGATACCATCTTACACCAGTGAGAATGGCACATATTAAAAAAACTAGCAACAACAAATGTTGGCGAGGGTGTGGAGAAAAAGGAACTCTTCTGCACTGCTGGTGGGAGTACAAACTGGTCCAACCACTATGGAGAGCTGTGTGGAGATTTCTGGACCTACTAAACATAGAGCTTCCATATGATCCAGCAATTCCACTCCTAGGTATTTACCCAAAGGACACAGAAACATCAATTCCAAAGAACACCTGCACCCCTATGTTTATAGCAGCACTGTTTACAATAGCTAAGCTTTGGAAACAGCCAAATGCCCAAAAATAGATGACTGGATCAAGAAGATGTGGTACATATACACCATGGAATATTACTCAGCATTCAAAAAAGATAAACACATGCAATTTACAGCAACATGGATGGCGCTGGAAGGGATCATGCTCAGCAAAATAAGCCAGAAAGAAAAAGAAAAATACCGGATGGTCTCACTCATAGCAGGAATCTAGAAAACTTAAATAAGGGACCAGGAAATGAATAACTATAAGAAAGTGAAAATCAAAATCAACAAAAAACTATGAACCAGAGACACTTTTTGGAGGGTGGGGGGTGGGAGGGGAGGGATTGGGGTCAAAATGGGGGGTTGCAATTGTATGGGGAATATAAAAATAAAATCTATTATTTAAAAAATAATAAATAAATAAATAAATAAATAAATATCTTCTGCCATTCCCTTATTTTCTACTGAAAAGTTTATGGAAAGTCTAATAGGTGTTCCTTTATATCTATAAAGGCCTTTAATATTCTGTTTCTGTCATTGGATTTTGACAGTCTAACTATCATGTGTCTTAGAGTGTATCAGTTTCTGGCATTTTGTTTGGAACCCTTGGGACCTCTTGGATTAGGACACTTCATTCATTTTCAAGACCGAGATTTTTTCAGCAATTCCTTCTTTAAATAATTTTCTATGCTTTTCTCTTTCCCTTCTCCTGATAGGACCACTGTGACACAGATGCTATTTCTCTTTAGGTTATCCCAAAATACTTTTAAACTACTTTTATTCTTTTTTTCTCTTGTTGTTCTATTTGTATGTTCTCTGCCACTGTTTTTTCAAGTTCACCAATTTTATTCATTATTTGTATTTGTCTACTGTTGGCACCATACATATTTTATAACATACATTCATTTATAACATTCTTTAGATCCATTAGTTCTAGTTGTAACAGTCTCATATTTTCTCAGTCTTTATCATATTTCTGTTCTTGATTATGCATTATTTTTCTTAATTCAGCAATTATGGTAATAACTGTTACTTTAACCATAATCAAGTATACTCCATAGTTCTAGGTTGAGAATTCTCTCAGGGTTTTAATTTTTTTAATGCTCCAGCATTTGTGATATGTTCTTTCTTTTCATTTTCTAGTTTTTATGGATTGTAATAGGGAGTTTTCTATTCTTTTCTTAGTAAATTGCCTTTATGCCCTTATTCCAAGAAGCTGATTATAATTCTAGGAATTTATCCAGGATCTTTACATGTGTATTGTTTCACAGAACAATGCTTTTGTAACTGTTCAGAGAGCAGGCCACTGGTGTTGGTAAAGGGTAATACGTGGGAAAGAAGTAGGGCAGTAGGATACCAAAAGTTTGCCTCCACTGAGCATCAAGGCTTCAAGATTCTTACAGAGTTGTAGGTACCAAGTTGTGTACTGGGGATACACAGTGATCGCCCCCAAGCCAACTCCTTGACTAACTTGCATTATATAGTTTCATGCTGGGACTCACCTCTAGGCTGTGGTTGAGCATTATATATAGTGCTGGGTGAAGACTACATTTGAGACAGGGTCACAAATTGGGAATTGTTTTCTTTGCTTTTGGAGTTCAGATCCTTATCCTGAGGTGCTTACTCCTGTTTTTAAGATCTAGGTACTTAAGCTCTGGCTAATGAGAGCATTCAGTTATTGTCTTATCTTTAACCCTGGACAGTAAGGCAGGTGTTTTGTATATCTCAGCCTCAGGCTGCAAATAATAGCCTCTTCTATGAGGAGACACAGGCGATTACATCTGGCTCTCACAGTTGGTCTGAGTTCACACTGTTCTAGTTTGGAAGCCTCAGTCTCAATTCGGTAATCATAATCTGCACCCTTGTTACTATAGTCCCCTAATGGTGCCCCTTCTGTCCTGCATGCCAACTCTGTTCACTCCTTTCTCCAGTGTACTCTCTGATTTTTTAAGTCTGATGTAGTCATGTGCCCTGAGTAGCTGGTACTTGGGGCATAAGGTTCTTATAGAGCTACCCAAGCTACCCTCTTATAGAGGTACCCAAGTTGTATACTGGTGCCCCAAGTAGCAGCCACTCCCTCCCTCTCATGAGTTGTATTAACCCAGTATCAAGCTAAACAGAGTTTAATTATAGCTTTTCCTACTCCTTTCTACCCCTTTCTGCTATACCATTGCTCCCGTTGTATGATATAATCATCCTTTATCTTGCATACATTGTTGACTTTGTTTTGCTGTAATTACACTGCGAATATGTGGAGAAAGTAAGCCTATTATGTTCATTTGCTTCCTCAACTTCCCTTTTTTTTAAGATTTATTTTATTTATTTACGCATACAACTACTAGGGTATAGGCCAGAGGCCCAGGGGGTAAGAGGATTCCCCAGAGACAGAGTGGGGAGCAGAGCAAGCAGATCTACTGAAATGCACCGCTCAGGGGAGCAGTGTCAACCTGACCAAGACATTGCCAAGTAATGATTAAAATGATTAAATGTTTATATTTAAAATATAAACAAAAATTATAAATAAAAATTGTTACCCCATTTTAAGAAGACACTTAGCAGTCATTTCCCACAAGACAAAATCAAATGAAAGAATAAAGCCAGCATCAAATCAGTGTAAAGATATCAGGGTAAGTATTGCATGTCCTGAAAATAAATATAAACATGTACATAAATTACTCTCTTACCCTTGTTTTGGCATCAATTTTAGCTCCTCGGTCAAGCAATAGTTTAACCATATTGGCATTTCCTCTTTTTGATGCAACATGTAAAGGAGTGATGTCATTCTGTGGAAAAACAGAAAAAAATACATTTGGTATCCTCAGTTTAACCAAGACATTTCTTCCTACACCTCCCCCACATGTCCTCATTCTTTTCCTTGCTATTTTTTAAAACCATTTAGTGTGAACAGAGTGCTTCCCAGTATTTCTCTCTGACTGTAACTGCAAAACACAAAAGTGGGATGAAATTCCAGGCTATATTCTGTGGTTCAGGGTTCACCTCATTTGTTTGAGGTGACTGATGAAAGATATCAGGATTTTTTTTTTTTGCTCTAAAATCCTGTACTTTAATTCAATGTGTGTTCCTACAATTTTGTGTGCTACATATTGACTAATGAGTGGTTTTCTAAGAAGTGGCTGATTAAGTCAGCCCAGACTGAGTTAAAGCCGTACGACATTACTCAGAGCCTCCTCTGGGTTCATTGGAGCACGTGATGTCAATACAAATAGGAAATCTGTCAGTGCTATGCATAGTCAGAGGATTTCCTGTGGATGTTGGGATAAAATGTATTCACATGTATGTAATCCCACAGAAATCCGACTATGATGTTTTTTTAAACTACTATTAGGAAAATGTCATATTGTTTAGGATAATCTGAAATTTCAACCAAGATCTAACACCATAGTCCTTCCCCCCCCATGCATTTTACAGGTGCTCAGATTACTTCCAGAATGCCAAAGAAACATGTGTATATAGTGAAACACATTCTGTTTTCTTTCTTTTTTCTGGAATAGCAGCAATACTGATTTAAGGTTTGTTCTCACAAAAGTCAATTATAGGAATGATGAGCTATGATCATAAGGGGTTATAGTTTTGTCATCTGATAGCAGATACAATAGAATAGTTATCAGATATTGATAATTTTTGAGGTATTAGGCACTGTATTAAATGCTTTCCTATCTCATTTAATTCTGATAATCCTCACAATGCATATATAATATGAATTAAAATATTCTTTTTACAGATGTAGACACCACTAGCAAAGCCAGGATTCATTTAAAATCTGACTCAAACTCATTCTTTTTAAAAGAAACACTTTGTAATGAAAAATTTTAAACAAAATTCTAGAGAAAATAATGAGTTTTCATTATCCTGTTTCAATAATTATCATCTTTTATAAATATAATTTTTTCTATACCCCCTACTATTTTTTCTTGCTGAAGGATTTTAAGAAGAGAAAGAAAATCCTAGGAATCATATTATTTTACCCAGAAATGCTGCAATTTAATGATCACTGACAATTAAGGATGTTTTTAAACAAATAATCAGAGTACCATTATCATAACTGAGTAAAAATAATACCTCATAACACCAAGGCCCTGCCAATATTCAATTTCTGTCATTATCTGTAATTATCTCAGTTGGACAGTTCAAATTAGAAGTTCCCCATTTTGCATAAGGTTGAAATGTCCTTTAAGTCTCTTTGATCTCCATAGGTGTCAAACTTCACCTTTCTTTCCATGTCTATATATTTATTGAAGAAAATGGGGTCATTAATTGTGGAGAATTTTCTACATTGTGGATTTGGCCCATTGCCTCCCCATGAAGTTAGGCTAACATATTCTTTCCCCCTGTATTTTCTATAAATTTTTCTAGTGAAATGTTTTCAGTCATTCTAAATTCTCTCATTTGAAAAATGCTTTATCTTTTTATTCTTGGACCTAAAGCTTAAATCAGCAATTCATTAAATGAAAGAGACAACTTTGAGTTATGGTAGTGTTGACAACACCACATCATTGCTCCAGGTCTGGGGTAGCTGACCTTTTTCTGCAAGAGGCCAGATAACAAATAACTTTGTTGGTCATACATGCTCCACTGTGCAATCCACTCTGCCATTGCTGTATGAAAGCAGTCTTTCAGCCATTTGTAAAGAAATGGTTGTGGCTGTATTTCAATAAAACTTCTTCTACAAAACAGGAGGTAGGCCAAGCATGGCCCGGGGGGCCTCAGTTTGCAGACCACTGCTCTAGACCTACCAGCTTAAGGTTAAGGGTTTCAAAAATGCACAACAGTTTATAAAAGAGGAAATAAAATGATATATAAATATATAAAAATGATATAAAATAATAAAATGATGTATATGTTGGTCCTCTTTGGTAGGATTCCTTTTTCAGTGTGAATGACAGCTGACAGAAGGAAGTAAACTTCTTGAGGACTTTAAAATTGTCTGGTTTACATAAAATATATAGAAGAAAAAATAGGTAAAACACTACAAGACATACATCTCAAAAACATCTTTAAAGACTCATCACCCAAAGCAGTGATAGTGCAGGCAAAGATAAACACCTGGGATTACATCAAATTAAAAAGCTTCTGTACAGCCAAAGAGACATTAACCAAAACAGAGAGACACCCCACTGATTGCGAAAAAATCTTTGCACTCCATTCAACTGATAAGGACTGATCACAAAGATATACAAAGAACTCACAGGGCTCAACAAAAACAAAATAAACAATCCAGTCAAGAAATGGGCAGAACTCAAAAGACATTTCTCCAAAGAGGAAATGCAAATGGCCAACAGGCATATGAAAAAATGTTCAACATCTCTTATCATCAGGGAAATGCAAATCAAAACCACACTGAGATACCGCCTTACACCAGTAAGAATGGCATATATCAAAAAAACAAGCAACAACAAATGTTGGCGAGGATGTGGTGAAAAAGAAACTCTCCTACATTACTGGTGGGAGTGTAAACTGGCCCAACCACTGTGGAAAGCTGTCTGGAGGTTCCTCAATCTACTGAAAATGGAGCTACCATACGATCCGGCAATATATCCAAAAGACACAAAAACAGTGATTCAAAAGAGCAACTGTACACCTATGTTTATTGCAGCACTATTTACAATAGGTAAAACCTGGAAACAACTCAAATGCCAAAAAAAAGATGACTGGATCAAGAAGATTTGGTATATATACACAAAGGAATATTATTCAGCAATCAAAAAAGATAAACTCATGCCATTTGCAGCAACGTGGATGGAGCTAGAAGGAATTATGCTCAGTGAAATAAGCTAGAAGGAAAAGAAAAATATCGGATGGTTTCACTTATAACAGGAATATAGGGGAACCGAATAGGACATCAGTGTAAAAAAAATAATAATTACAGTACAAACCACAACAAAGCAATAACAGACAATTATAAACCAGAGACATCCTGCAGGGGAGGAGGAGGGAGAGGGATCAGAGGGAGGAAGGGAAGGAGGAGCACAGGGGACTGTGGTGATGGTGCACAGGTGCATTGGGGAAGGAAATTCTATGGGGACTCAATCTGAGGGGGTGGGGGGAAGCAAATATTGTCTAAAAAATGTAAAAAAAAATTGATAAATGTTAAAATTGAAAAAATTAAAAAATTGTCTGGTTTATCTCTGCTGATGGAGTGCAAATATGTGTGACTCTAAGGATCCAAGTGGCACTGCAGATGATTTCTAGACCTGAGACAGCAGGGGGAGTGTCAGGTTAGGGCTAGGAAACAGTCTAACAGAAGAGCTAACTGAGCCCACAGTGGGATATGACACAAAAACCTCATCACTTCCCAGCATGAGTCAGTGCTTACATGCTATTCCCCTTTAAAAATGTGCCCTTGCCAGGTTGAGAGGGACTTAATTAACCTTTATCACAAGTAGGCTAATTTTAGTGAGAGGAAGAGCTCAATTCTAATTTTGCTCTCTTCCATATTCATGTACTCGCTCTCATATGGTGATATGTAGATGTCAAATGCCTTGAAAACTCCCACATTTTTCTACACCTCTCCGACCCTTCCTAGAGCAATACTTTGTATTTCCACTGCACTTAAAAGGTGTTGTAAAGGGCTTATACTTATGTAATTTCATGTTATCTTTACAACAACTACTAAAGTAAGATAATTAGTCCTATTTGACAAACAAACTGAGGAATAGAACTTGTCAAAATTTTACTAACAGACAACTAATTAGGGAATGAATCAAGATTAGAATTGAATTTTCTAGATCTTTGGGCAGTGATCTTTTTCCTCAGGGATCATAATGCCTCTGTTTAAAGACTATGGCTTCTCATCATCTCTGTTAAATGGAGCTTCTGGATAACATGCTTTCTCATTTCTGAATCAGATAGTGAGGCATATATATATATATATATATATACACCTCAGTTATAGATATAATATATATATATTCCTTAGTTATATATATACTATATATATATTCCTCAGTTAACCAGTATAAATGTTTCACACCCTACGATGCACAGTCCCAGTGCTATATTTCTACTGTGTAAGTGAGCAACAAAATTATGTAACTCCAACATATCAAAAGAGACCTAAGATGTTAGAGACAAAAAGTTGTTTATGGGCCTCTCTGGTGGCACAGCGGTTGAGCTCTGGGCTGTGAAGCTGCCCGCAGCCTTTGCAGCGCTGGTTTGATCTCTGGCCACCAGGCGAGGGTCCCACATGGCGTGCAGACCTCTCCTGCCCCCTGCTGCTCCCCTCAGCAGTGTACTTTGGTCCTTCTGCCTGCTCTGCTCCCCGCTCTGGCTCTGGTGAATTCTCTCACCCTCCCGCGCTTCTGACTGTACCCAGTGCTTGTATAAATCAATCAATCAATCAATTAATCAATCTTAAAAAAAGTTGTTTATGAAATCCTTTGTTTACTGCAGCTGAAATGTAAATTTGTACATGCTTTCTAGGATATAATATGGCAGTATTGGCAGGAGGGTAGAATTGGAACTGTGATTGGTCAGGTTCTTACGCTATATATAAAGTGATATAACATTTGAAGGCGATGACTGTGATAAGTGCATAATATAGGAAAGAAATATAATTAAATAAAAAGAAAAAAACATGAAAATTATGCTCTTATGTTTATACATATACACGTTATATACATTCTAAGAAAGTCGTGGAGATCCTGATGGTGAGATTATAGAGGATTTCATTTGGCATCTTCACATATTTCTAAAAAAAAAACTACTGTGTACATTTGTACAATGTTCAGAAAATAACTTTCTTTTTTAATACTGCCTAATTTGG